CCTAAACCACAACACAGTTACTGCTAGATATCCATTTTATTTCTTTAATGTTGTGGTTCATGTACTCTTCCATTAAATTTCAAAAAATATTTATACTACAATACCAGGACAAAAGCAGAAAAGCTATGATCACCGTGTATTCTTTCTTATTAAAAGTCTTTGTATTCTGCAGAAACATAAAAATTGATGCAAAACTGGGTTATCTCCATTTTGGTTTATGACTTGTGAACAATAGGAATACATTTAAAACATAATTTTACTTGTACCTTCAAGCATGAATCATTTGGACACTGACTGCTTGAATAAGATGCCAGAAGTTCAAAGAGCAGAAAGGAGAAATGTCCAAATAATTTAAAACAGATGACAGGGTATGAGCTAGAACTACCTGAGTCATAGACATTTCCTCTTGTGAATGAAAAAAAAATAAAGTGTGTTAAATATATAATATACCACTATTTATAGATAATATACCTTTATCTATAAAATACGCATACATAAATAACATTTGTATAAATGTTAAATGTTTATATATGTAGCTATATAGATACATACGTGTAGATATGGTCATATATTAATTCACCAAGGCTGGACTAAAAGGGGAAAATAAATGTCTGAAAAATATTGTTTGTACAGAAAATCAAGGGGTTTTTTGTTTCTTCCTCAGTGCTTCTTGAAAGTGCATATGGGGAATCATGGATCTACCTGCCCAAACTGTTTGGTAGGGTGAGGGCTTGGAAACATTTGTTTCCTGTAGCATCTTTCCAGGCACACTTGGAATTTGGAGTCAGGTATACCTTAAAATGTTACCTCTTGTGCTTTTCAACCAGTAGGATGATGAGCTGCCAAATAGCTTATTTAAGAAAAAAAAATTTAAAAGGAAAAAAGGTGCACAGGGAAACTGAGATCTTCTGGGGAAATTTTTACATTGAAAAATAATTATTTTTAAACTAATCTTTTCCAGAGAATTGTTCTAACACAAAAGTCTTGAACAGCTCTGGAGTGCATTTAGACTAGAGACTAAATGCACTTTGTAAGATCAACAGCATTTTAAAATTCAAGTATGCCAGTAAGGAAGAAACAGTTTGATTATATTCTACAAAACCCTTCCCCTTTTTCTAATTTTAACATAGCGCATAGCTGGCATTTTAGAAGCACCATATGACTCATAATATTATAGGAAAATGACAGTGTGATGTAACATAATCCTATTGATCCTTTGGAAGACTTAATAAAAAGTATATGATATTCAGGGTGTCACTGCATGGGTTACTTTTTGAAGATGGAGGTTAAAATATTTTTAGCTTGATTCATGCTCTTTTCAGGTTTATAGAAGGTTCATCATTCAGTTTTATGTGTTAACCCACTTTCAAGGGCCTACTTATTTTTTGACATACTATATGGCAACAAGATAGAGTTTCTGGTAGTTTAGTCCAGCGTCAATCAAGCTGTTGCTGTCCTTCTGCATAGACTCATAGAATGATTTAGGTTGGAAAAGACCTCTTAAGTTCATCAAGTCCAGCTGCTAACCCAGCACTGCCAAGTCCACCATTAAAACCTGTCCCTAGGTGCCACATAATATTGTAGCCTATATTGATTTCCTAGTCTCCTCTACATCTTTTAAGACTGTTTTGTAACCATGTTATGCCTACGACTGAATGACCTCTATCTGTTCCCCATCCTGATGGAGCATGGTGCACAGGTCCCCAGTGCAGCTGACTGTGCTGCACAGCCACGTGCAGAGCCCTGGTTCCCACAACCAGTGAGCACAATACAGACATGGGGTTCTCCATCAGTACCTTGGGGTCAGCAACATCACTGTCCTTTCTTCTAAGCTATCTCTGCTGAACTGCCTTTCTGGGCAGTCTCGGGATGTTTATTCCTTTTTCTCACAGCAAAAGAAATATCCTAATTGTCACCATTTCATATCTGCTGTTATGACTAGTGTTTCCCTGGTTTGTAAAACAAAATATTGATGACTTCCACCCGGAAGAGTCCATATTAGTTTTGCAGAGTCCACATTATTGCTAAGATTTCAAATGCCTATATGCAATTTTACCTGTTTTGGACAGCATTTACTTCACTTCCCTTATGTGTTATTTGAAGAGGAAAGCTAAGCATGATGTCTGGTCCTGTGTACATGGTGTAGATCATCATCCATTTCCAGCAGTGGAAGGGGTCTTGTAAACCTGAGAAAGGGTAGACAGCTGAGAACCAGAGACCTTAAAACCCCTCCCTTTCCAGCCTTCTGACAAGTAAAGCCTTCCTTGTTCCGAATGCTGTAGCATTAAACTGGTACTGTCTGTTAAGATGCATTTACCGCTTTATTGCAGACACACACTTACTATATCATGGTGTGGATTTGTAAGCATTAAAAATAACTGCTTTAAGCAAAACAGTTTATTTTCCCTACTGACAGATGCTACCCACAGACAATTATCTGGTAGGGTAGAGTGCAGTATGTAAGTATTTGTTTATACATTTAAGGGGTACAGGGAGTGAGTAGGCTTAAGTCTAGTCTGAAACAGCATTGCAGTTCACATCCATGAAAGTGAGGTCAGCAACTGGGAAATGCATCCATGCAAAGCTTTCATGAACTCAACACATCCTGAGCTAATTGACAAGGAAAACCTAAAGTCATTAGGAACTTGATGCACCTGCTTTATGAGTTGATAAATCTTCTTTTTGCCTTTCTCTTGTCACATTACTTTGGAAAATAAATTTACTCAGTCACAGTGGAAATCATGTTTTAGAAATCACATTTTACTGACATCGACACTTTCATCAATGTCTGTCAAGCCTGTCTGGAAAGTTTGAAAGTAGTCTATAGGCTGATATCTCATGAATTTGCTAGTGGATGGAGTCCCAAGCAACAGCCACAGAAGGCAAGCATTCTAGCAAGCATTACCAGATAGGGATTTTATGTATTTATTGCTATTGAAAATATGTGGGTTAGTTTATCAACACTGAGATTAAGGGTTTTGATCTTTCAATTTACTCTGGAATGTGTTGTTTGAGGTAGAAATGCTATGATACACTAAGGCACTGCAACCTACTTACTCTTTTTCCCCATCTTTCTGTGTTGATTGTACTGTGTATCATTCCACCTTTTACAGCATAAATGCACAAAGATTTTATTTGGCATACAATTTTTCTCACAAATCTCTTATTTTAGTCAACACAGATAACCAGCTATTCATTTCTAGATTCCTTCATTCTAGATTCCTTCAACTTAAATATGTTGGGAAAAAAAAAAAGAGAGAGAAAGATCTCATCAAAAGATGGGCTATTATGCTAGGCACAAATGTAGCAAATTCAGTAAAACAGCCTATGTCACATTTGCATTTACAAGTCCAGATATTTTTAAGAAATATAGCCGTAAGTGAAATATAATTCAATGTACTAAAAACTAGATAGATAAAAATACATAAAGCGTTATTGTTATGAAATTATGTTGGTGTTATTATAAGTAATATATTATATTATTATAACTGATATTATATACTATAATATCCACACAAGCTATGGTCATATAAAAAAGCAATTTCTCAGCATTACTCTAAAGATATATGTCAGAGAATTGAATGTTGCTTTTACATATTGAATTATTTCTTTTTGCCCTCTTTAGACTGAAGTACTCTTCTTACTTTTATATTCATCATGTGCAAATGTGCCATTTTTAGTTGGCAGAAAGAGGCAGCTCTGAACCCTTTGTTGGGGTTTAATTTAGTAAAGCAGCAATAATCTCACATCTCATTCCAGTCTCACATTGTCCCTTGGTTTATGCCTTCTTCCCCCCCTTTTTTTAGCACTTACCTGCTTTTTTACCTGACAGCTTCTCCCACCTGGTTTACACTCAGGTCTGGCTGCTTCAGTGGACTGGCAGAAATTGCTTAACACTGTTCAGGTGCTTTTTAAAAGTACTGCCAGTCTAAAGCTGGGACTAGAGCACTGTGGTTTCTGCTGCTACTCAGAATTATTGCTGGAAGATGTAGGACTCTGGGAAACAAAAGAAATCTGTGACTATCAGAGTTTCTGCTTCCTCAGTTGTCCATGACTTCCCTAGCAATTTAAGGAATTTGATGTTGTGATTGCACCTGGCTTAGGCGCCTCTCTACAGCCTTAGACTGTGTGGATTCCAAAGGATGCACCTGTCTATGAAAACTGAAATTACCTGAAAGAAAGTGGTACCTTGGCCATACATTTGACATATACCCTATGCAAATGTCCAAAAGACTGGAAGAAATAATGTGCTATCTAATCATGCCAGGTTGTTGGCTGTCAAAAGGAACATACAGTTTTTAGCTCTATAACATAATACACTTTCTGTTGCAGAAATGCTATTTGGTTGCCTTAATAGACAAAGGTGCATTTTCCTATGAAATTTCACAGTGAGTTTAAGCACATACCAGGACTTTCTTAATGCAGCCTCTGATTCCTTGCCTGGGTCATCACATACATGACCTATCCTGTATCTAATAAAATTTGTGACAGGGGGCTTCTTCTGTATAGCTCTACTGTCCAGGAGGGTCCCCTTGCTTTAGTGGGAATTTTTCTGAGTCCACATTGAATTTGGTGTAGCAAATCTCTTCGTAAGAGCCCTACTGTGAATTCAGTTAGGTTGCTGGAGAGACCAATAGGAGTGTCTCTGTGCTTAGTGCTTTTCATGGGGAAAGAAAAAAAGCCCAGTATTTTAAAGTTCACATTTTCTGTGAATTGAGCTATGTTTCACGAATTCAGTCACTGTGGAAATTTGCTCACTTTTTCTATTGATAAGATAATTTCTAGAAAATGAGACATAATAATATCCATTATTTCATAACCTGTTCATTGCATCTCATAAAAATCTGCATGTTTACATTGTTTCATATTGTTGCCAGTTAATTTGCATTTTTTATCCATGTTCGATTTGCATTCATTAACTCATTTGCTGGTAAGTGTATTCTTTCTATACATATTCAAAGAAATTCTTTAATTCAATTTCTCTGTTTCTTCTCATACAGTCTCACAGCCAGATATGCAACTCAGTCTAATCACAGTGGAATTGCAACCAGTCAAAAAAAGGCTTCTAGGTCAGTTAAATATCTCTAATTTATTGCTTGTTAGTGATACTCAAGCAAGTATATGCCCATTGATATTTTATCCTTTGGACTTAAGCAGACACTAAACAATGTGCAACTTCTGTTATGTGAGCAAGCTTTGGAATGATGAGCTTTGCCTCAGAAAAGCCTTGTATTCATTGGTTTTTGGCCAATTGGCTGATTTCTACTATATATATTAGCAATATTTCTGGTTGTTATTTATCCTGCATCTTTGTATTCTGCATGTAAAATATTGGATGTGAAGGATTAGTTGGTGATTTTAGTGCTCTGTGCTTTCTGGCTCAATTCCTGATTTTAGTCATGAGTGAAAAGAAGTTTGGGAGTCCACCCCAGTTCCCACTAGATGTTTTGCATATATAGAAAACCCACCTGAAAGTTTGAGTTCACAGAGTCAAGTTTACACAGAAGCAAAATAGAGCAGAAAAAAAGAATTACTTCCGAGCGAGACTTCTGCTCCATCAAGAGTAGCCTGCACACAGTCCCCATGAATGAGAGACTTTGTTTTGGCAGTGAATTTTACAGAGCTGTGTGTAGGAACTGACTTGTTTCAGATTTTGTCAGTGCTTTTAGTCTATCATTTCCATGAGCACTAAAATCTAGCCAGATTGCAGAAGAAAACAGCTGAGGTCTAAAGCTTACTCTTTTTTCCTAGCTTTTTTTTTTTTTTTTTTTTTTTTTTTTTTTTTGGCGGGGGGAGGTAATGTGTTAATTATTTATACTTTTGCTTTACAGTGCATTGGTGAGGCTGATGAACTGTAAATTGCATAATCTCCAATAAAGATTGCATTTTGCAGTATAGAACACTAACACAATGTGCGTTGCTGGTGATAAATTGAAATGAGCTATACCATGGTCCAGTTGCTTTGCACCTGCATTTATAGGTCTTCATTTTCCTTATTTCTGATGCTCCTGTCTTGTCCACATTCAACTTGTCAAAGTTAACAGTCTTATTGTCTAATACTTTAAATCTGTGGCAGTGTTTCCGAAGCCTGTTCAGAGGTATGTGACTTGTCCCTTATTTGTTATACTCTTCTTTGCATTTCCTTAGCTGCTTAACATGATTCTGCAAGAGCAATTTAAAACCTGAATTCAATTAAGAAAGTCAGCAGATGAGGTAAACTGGAAAGTGTGTAGAGAAAATGACCTCATGCATAATGTGCTTATTGTGGCAAGATCTTAAATTCTGGCATACAGAATATACGCAGAACTATTTTGTATTTTAACAGAACAGATGAGTTTCTAGTGTTGCACATGCCTTTTCATTACTTTTGTCATTACCTTTGACAAATGGTCTCAGGGCTCTTACTGCCTGTCAAATTAGGGTAATGAGAAGGAGCAAATGGATTTTTAAGTTTGTTTTAGTGCATTCTTCAGGGAACAGAAGATCACTCGAATTCATGGGTCACGGTAAAGGTTAGCACGCGTACCACTGCAGAGCAGAGACAGTCTGCTCAGCACAGAGACTAGCAGGGCAGGCTGGTGGCCAGAATGAGTGATGGAAATAACCCATGCATTAGTTCTCTGAGGTTTAAACTGGTAAAGAAAGAGACTATGGAGTTGTTTACATATGTTTGCAAATGAAAATGAAATTATTTGAACATTTCTGTTATGCTAGTGTATTAAACAAACAAAAAAAGTTTGGAAAAAATCAAATGTTTTGCACTTTTTTGTAATGTGATTTTTTTTCCCCTCCTTCTAATGCTGCTCTTTCATGATAAAGTGAAACTAACAGAATTTGATAACTCTGGTAGAATTTGCACTGTCATTATTAAAATCATTCCAATAATCAAGAAACAGAAGAGAGATGCTCCTCTGTGGCAAAAGCCTGTGACTGATTTGAGCAATTAATTTTATCTAAGAAATAACAAAACAAGAAAGTAGTAGGGGTGCCCACAAAGGTGCTTCAGAAAGTTTGAAGTAGGCACATATTAAGGAATCTTACAGCACAAAACAAATAAAAAATATGTCGGCTTATGCATGCCAGAAACAACTAGAATCTATGTTCTTTTCCTTAGCGTAGCCACTAGTAAGGTTCAGAGGGTGGCAGCAAATACTAAGAAATGAACTGTATAGTTTACATTATACACTTCTATCTAAAAGGTATAAATGCATCTGTATCATCTAGATAAAAAAAGTATTTACAATATTTTTCATTTAAAATAGTAAGGAGGAAGTATTTTAGTCAATAGCCCTCTGAAAAATAGCTGAAGAAGATAACTAAAAAGCCAGCTTTTATGCTAAACACAACCATGAAAAAATTAATACAGTCAGAAATACAAAATATTTCTTAACTATGTATTTCTGTGCTTTTTAATCTATTTCTTTAATATTTTTCTCCAAAAGTTACATATTAGCAAAGGTTGATATTGTACTTTAATATTTGTTAGAGTGAATCTGTTTTAGCAATGTTAATGGCAAATGCAAAGCATCTTCTTACATGTCTTGTGATTCTAGAAAGCACCTTTTCCCCTTTTGTGTGCATAAGGACAAGTTTAAATTTTAATTTGTGGAGTCTAACTAATTTGAATCCTGCTGTTTGTTGTTGCTTCCTGAATTAATTTGGTTTAGTTGGTTTAAAATTGTGATCTGATATTGCACATTGTCTCTGCTATATGTTGTATTACATAAAATTAACAGATTTCTCGCTGGTTCCTCACTGGTTTTCTCACCATTCCAGGCTTCCAGGACCCTCAAGAGTTCCAGCTGCAGGCAGCAGTACCAAAGTCCAGGGAGCTTCCAATTTAAATCGGAGAAGTCAGAGCTTTAACAGCATTGACAAAAACAAGCCTCCACAATATGCAAATGGTAATGAAAAAGGTAAGGGATTAAAGTTACTAAATTTACTCTCCATAACATACAAGAAGGAAAAAAAAAAAAAACAAAACTGCCACAAGGGTCAAAAAGTGAATGTAGTATTTAGACTTGGTAAGGAATACCTATGGGAATTGGGGCCTGAACTTGTGTTTCAGCTGGGATATAAATTCAGATGTTATAATCATATTTTATCCATCTTTGATGAAAATATCACAGGGTGACTTGTAAAAAGTAAAAGTTAATCCATATTGGATGCCTGTAATTTTATTCCATGTAAAAGTCTTCTCTTACCCAAAGGAATACTGCCATCATTTTCAGGGGACTTGGCAACTTAGCCTCTAATGGAAAAGAATCAGAATATTATATTTGCATCAGAATGTTACATGTATCTATTCTTTTAGAACCTGACCTATTGTGTATAATACTGAATAAAGGATTGCAAGTGAAATGAAATTTTGCAGGGATTTGGAGCAGCCACTGCAACAATGAACTGAGTACCCTGGGTCCTTCAGTTTCTCTCACCCTGACTCTGTTTTCCTGGAAAATGTGCCTCTTCAGGCTCTGTCTCAAAAAGAATAATGCAAAAATTCAGCTTTCTGAGTTGTGTAACTAATCCATCCCCTTCCTCCCCTTCTTTTTCCCTTTGTGTAATGAACAGCATTTTATTCATATCTCTGGGTTAGAACAAAGTTGAAAATGATACAATATACATAGTACCCGTTTGCATCCTTGGGGTCTGTGGGAGGAACAAGTATGCAATGAATGTTCTTCAGCCAAGCAACAGGCAGCTATCCAAAATTTTTTTACAAAATTCTGATGACCATTCTTTGCCCCTAGCTGTATCTGAAGATATAAAACCATCCTTTCAATAGTTATTCCTTTATTTTTACTATCAGGATTGAATGTTTCATGTATTCTACAGTGGGTTTTATTTTATCGAGGGCTTGTTTGAGTCAAGACATCCAAGCTAAAACTAGAAAAAGAGCAGAGAAAATTGAGCACACACTGTATAGTTCACAAATACCATAGTGAAGTTATGAAGCAGGAGATGTGGCTGCTAGAGTGAAGGTATGTACAGCAGTTTAGGTTTTAGAATTGCTTCATTATGTTGATATGTTTGCTACTGAAATATGTGAGAATGAAATGATTCAAGGTGAGACATGAATGTAGATAATAATATTCTTAGCTCATTACTTGGAAACTGTCTTTTGACTGCTGAGGCTTGCATTGCATTGTACATTTTTGTGAATTTTTGCATGATGCATTTCTTTACTTCCCCATGTTTTACAGCAGAGAATGAGAACCTTGATGTGGTTTTTACTGAAGTCACCATTTGCAAGAGGATAAAGGGTGGATTTTTTTGTAAAGTCAATCAATTAATTTTACAGAAAATAGAAGTAATGCTGCATATCTACTACTGTATTTGATATGTTTCCATGTGTTCTTTTTTTTCCTATCAAAATAGCAGAATAGATGAAAAATCATTAATTTTACATGATAACCAAAGATAAATACAAGTTTGTTTTAGGGTATAAAGCAGAAGTTCCTTGGAGAAAATGACTGCTGCGAATACAAGGGTATCAAAGGGATATTCTTTCATAATATCATGAAAGAACAGGAGAACCTGTATTTAAGTATGCTGTGCTCTACTTTACCTAAACAAAAACACAGCTGTAGCATGCTTATATTTTAAACTTAGTTATTATAGTGACTAATTTTTGAATATTACAATGAGATTTCCAGGTACTTTTTTATATTTTTAAAAGTATTTTAGGATGTTCTGGAACCTGAGATTTGTGAAGAATTTGTTCAGAAACAAACTTCAAACTCTACAATAGTAATAATATAAAATAATATAAAAACCATCTTTTTAAAAAGTCATTACCAAACACTAATATTATTACCAAAGTTACAAACTGATCTCTCCCTCCAGTGCAGCACAAATAATAGACCTTATATTTAATTTTTGCCTCTGTTGCAGATGCTTGGAGCAAGATAACTTTACCAGCTTTTTTTGAATAGATGCATAGTCCATACGCCCTAATTTCTAAAACAAAGAGATGATTTGTGCTAATTAAATAGCTGTTAGATACTGGGACCATCCAATCTCTTCAAGGACACAACACTCTTGATCTGTTCTCTGCTGTAAACCTTCGTGTATGTGCAATAAGGAGACCTCAGAAAATATATGCAGCTTTTTTTTTTTTTTTAAATCCGTTTATAGGTAGTACTTGTAATCCATTCCTGCGTAACACGGTCACTCAGTCACAGTGGGGAATGGATATGTAGCCACAGAGTTAAAGGAGACCTGAAGGTGACCCAAAAGAATTGATATCAGCCCCTTATTTAGTGTTCCATTATTTAGTCTCTCACTGATATAATCTCCTTTGGACGTTGGTTAGGGAATAGTTCAACTCAGTCAGAAATCCGGCTCCCCTGAGCAAATGCAGGTTTGCTCTTTACTAAGCAGAGCAGTTTTCACTAACAGACACAATCCATGGTATAGCACTGGTTAAGTCTGAAACACAGAATGCACCAGAACATTAAACAAGCCATTAGCTGAAACTTGTTTGTGGAGCTTTAGTGCAATGGTTTTTTTTATTATTTTTGCTGGACTTTGCAGCTTACAGATCAATTTCAAAGAACATGCATGCTTTTCAGACATGTCAGATTTATCTGCCTCTTGATTTAATAACATAAAGATAGAAATAAAATGAGGAAAATTAAACTATTAAATGAAGTAATTATTCAGATTGCTAATAAGTAGAAAAACAGTGCCTTTTGAATACAGCAAAGAAATAATATTCTAATTCACACCACATTTTTAAAACAAGTCTTTACCCCTTACATCTTAGAAATAGTGCATTGGAACACTGATGAATGTCTCTATGTCATGGAGTTGTATTTCCAGCTTTTCAATATAGTTTAGTAGTATAAGATGGTGTTTCTGTTTTCTCCAAATTCAGTTTTAAAAGTATGTGGTTATTTTGCCCATACGACCTCTGAGAAACTCTGCCCTGAAACTCTGTTGTGTCATGATGCTGATGCAAATTGTTCATCTTCTGGCCAGTATGTACATCTATAGCTCATTTGTGTATGTTTCTTCTGGTGCCACTATTTTTCCAGTTGTTTCTGGTGGTGGTCTCCTCTTGTGCTGATAAGGGGTAACTACTTTATCATGGACAGCTAGAAAGGGAGAGTTGAACAAGCTGAATTATTTTAATCTCACTAGATAGAACCCCCATTCCTTCAAACGTTCTTATGGCAAACCCTTGGAACTCTGCCATTTTCTACTAACCTTTTTTATTGTGACTAGCTAAAAATGGATAATCTGGACACCTGCCTGCTACAGAATATTTAGATTATCCTAAGTAATTTTGCTGCAGTGGAGGAGCTGTTGTTGAGGTTGTCTTCTCCAGCAGCACAGAACACAGTAAAGGTCACACACACAAAAGAGGTTGATTATGTACTGGGCCCAAGTTCAACTCTGCACATGTCCTTTATTTGTTCAACAGCCTATGAAAAGTGGATTTGAAAATTTCCATTTGATCATCATCGTCTTGCTGGTTTATGACAGAAGTTTCTCTTTTTGCATCAAACATCTGAGGGTGTTGTGTGTGTGCTGTACTTTTATAGTGGAGGTTGAGCTCTGAAGCACTGAGTGCCCAAGCAGAGTGCAAAACTGTTTTCACCAGAAGCTGACTGTGCATCTCAGAAATAAGAGATTAAGCCTGAAACAGAAGACTGACCTCTTGTAAAATTTATTTTACAGAAATAAGAAATCCTTTTCATAGGTTGGGTTCACTTGATCTCAAAATCACCACAAGGTGGGGACAGGTGTCATGTAATGAGCAGCTAAAGCCAAGCCCAATTGAACACACAGAAAGCAGTTAATTGTGTGCAGCTTGAAGTAATGCATTTGTACTGGAGCTGAGGGGGAATAGATCTTTTTTTCCACATCTTTAAACATACAGACAGGTTGTCAATATTTCTTGAGAGCATGAAGTTCACATTCCTTGCAGAAATATTAAGGATGCCCTTTAAATTGTATATTAATGATAAGCTAAAATTCTCTGTAATTTTTTGTTGCTGTTTATGATTTGTGACCTAAGGATGAAATAAATACCAGTGGGTACAGGAACCTGTATTTTTTTGCTATATATGTAGCAGAGCAAGCTGCTGATGAAACAGTAAGTACTCTGCTTTTTACATTTTTACCCTCAATGAGATCAATATTATACAGCTGGAAGTATGGCAAGTCAGGACTTATTTTTAATCAGAACACCTTTTTTTTTCTTTTTTTTCTTTTTTTTTTGTAGTAAAACTAATAGACTAATAGCATGAAGTCATAAATATGTATCATAACTAATACAACAAAATGGAGTGGCATCCCACTGTTCACAGATAGTTACATGTATTCTGCATTAACTTTGTTCTTCTGCAAAACTCTTGGTATAGCTTAAGAGCCCAATCCTCCTGTGTATTTAGTGCAAGGCAAGATGTGTGCAAGTGCACTGCACACCCACTTTGGAGCTATCAGCCCTCTGGCTGATTCCTGGTATAAATTAAGAAAGCCTGAGGGCTGCAGTAATTTCCAACAGCTGTGGTTGGCCTCAGGCACTCTTACAGCATCTGAGGCTCACTAGACGAGAACAGGGACCCAGCCATCACTCCTGCCTTGGTCCCAAGGGACCAAGCTATGCAGCTGCCCACCAAAGGTGTTCGTGGTAAAAGATGGAGCCCAAGAAATATGTTGTAACTTCTCCTGTCACAAAAAAGACTCTGAAGCAAGCTTTACCAGTTAAAAGTTTTCTTGCTTAGAACAGGACTTGGCAGAGCTGCTTGAAACCTTTTGTGAAAGTGGAATGAGCTCATTTACAGGATCAGAGAATGTGTCAAGTTGAAAAGGACCACATTGGGTCATCTGGTCCAACCCCCCTGCTCAAGCAGGGTCATCTCACAACACATTGAACATGGGTAATGAACTCTGGGCAATCAGTTCCAGTTCTCAGTCAGCCACACAGTAAAGGAGTTCTTCCACATATTCGAGTGGAACTTCATGTGCATCAGGGTGTTCCTATTGTCTCTTACCCAATTGCTGGCACCACTGAGAAAAGCCTGACTTGACACCCTCCATCTAGATACTTGTATACATTGATGAGGTCCCCTCTCAGTCATCTTCTCTGGAGGCTGAATAGGCCCAACTCTCCCAGCCTATACTTGAAGAAGAGGTGCTCTGGTCCCTTCATCATCTTTGTCACCCATGTAGTGCTGTGGTATTTGCATACCAGGCTGAAGAGCACACAGAAGAACACTGGGCAGATAGAATTATCTAGCATCTATTAAGGTGGAAGTGATTTGCTTAGTGGAACTAGTTGCTAATAAAGTTAAGCAAGTGAATATTGTATGTGTTGTCACATTACTTTTGTTCAGGTTTTTTAAAAATATTTTTCAACTAGAACTTCTTAATGCTGTTCAGAGCAGTAAATTTTGCTATGTTTTCATTCTCTTTGTTAAAGGAAAAATAGCTCCACTTTCAGTATTCTCAAAATTCTGCCTTTCCTGAATGTATTAGCAGCCTTCAGACTTCCAGATGTGTAGTTGAATCTTTACTTGAGATTTAGGGCTGAGACTGAAAAAATGAAAATTATGCATAACTTCATACTCTGTGCTGAAGGGGAAACTGTCCTCAGCATTCTCATCTATGATATTATTCAGACAGGGGGACCCCAAGGTATGACATACTATGTGTATATGCAAAGCATCAAACACTTTTTTTGTCATTACACAATCTATATTTGCATTGCATGTTTCATGGGCTTTTTGCAGTACAGAATTCAATATCCTATAGACCAGCTTACATCTAATTTCCCAACAGTCCCAATACTGAATGGCACGGCAAGATACATCCACTAAAAGAACATATGTCAGCTGCTGAAATAGCTGTGTACCACATGATTTGATTGCTATTACCACTTAATTTCTCTGGTGTTTCAGAGTGATGGTGTTTATATACTCAGATATGTCTTGGGAATCTAAACTTCATACAGAAGAACTTAACCCTTTAATGGATTGTTCTGTCTCAGTTAATTAGGCTAGATGACAAAAATCACAGCTATTAATTGGCATAGTTTGATTATTGCAGAAGGAGCCTTGCTCTCATTCATTCTGACGATCCACTGAAGTTCCTGGATGATGCAAATGTAGTGAATGTGCCAGAGCCTTCTGTGCGTACCTGAGTTCAGAGCCAAACCAACTATCATTGCTGTACCCTCACAGATGATGTATTACTGTAACTTTCAAGTACTGACACTGGTGAAATTGTTGATATTTTTTTTTCCTACCTATGAAAGTGTACTGGGATAAGTTTCTGAAGTGAGCTGCTAAATATTGTTACCAGTACTTAAAACCAAGAAATGTGTTGCCACCAGCCTTTTTTGTATTTGCGACTATTGATTTTATCCATTTAAATTCAGTATTACTAAGTCCTTCTCCTCTCGCCCAATACCTTAGCTTTCTCGCACATATTTTTCTTTTGCTAAACATCAGACCCCTCTTTGTCCAGTTTTGGTTCTCTGCCATAATTGTAGCATTCTTTTTTTTCTTCTTCAGTGTTTTGTTATGAACAAGTGATTGGAAAAATAAAAGATTAAAATATTAACAAATAAAATCTTAACTTGGAAGGCTTGATTCACATAATGAAATTGTTGTAATGAAGATGTTTCTGAGGCTTTCTTGGACTTGTGTAAGTATCAAACACCATGATAATGGAGGAAAGAAAAGCGTATTCTATTAAGCATACTTCATGTTCCATGCACATATAAATTATGTTTATTTTAGATCACATGTAAATGTGTTTTAAATGTCAGGAAATATGACATCACCCTCAAGCAGGAGATGGGAGACTAATTATACCACTGTGGTTTTTTTCTGTTTTTTGAGCAGATTCACCAAAAGGCCCTCACCCCTCTTCAGGCATGAATGGAAATGTGCAGCATCCCACCAGCACCGGGCAGCAGCAGGTCTCTGCCATACCCTCTCCAAGTGCCAGCAAGCCTTGGCGCAGCAAATCCATGAATGTCAAACACAGCGCGACCTCTACCATGCTGTCTGTGAAGCAGCCCAGTCCCGCAACCTCCCCTACTCCAACTTCAGACAGGCTCAAGCCACCCCCTTCTGAAGGTGTGAAGCCCCCTTCATCTGGACAAAAATCTATGCTGGAAAAATTCAAGCTGGTTAATGCTAGGACTGCTCTGAGACCTCCTTTGTCACTTAGCTCAGGACCCAGTGACAGTGGGAGAGAGGATGACAACTTTTCAGAGTGTGGTGAAATGGATGTCTTGAGTGGTGGGGTGAACAGCGGCGGCTCCACAAGCAGCAGTCCCAAAGTATCGCCCAAGTTAGCTCCTCCAAAAGCTGGCAGCAAAAATCTCAGCAATAAAAAGTCTTTGCTACAGCCAAAGGACAAAGAGGAAAAGAACAGGGACAAAAACAAAGTTTGCACTGAGAAAGCAGTCAAGGAAGAGAAGGATCAGGTCACTGAATCATCTACAAAGAAGAGTTCAAAAATTGCAAGCTTAATCCCAAAGGGAAGCAAGACAACAGCAGCCAAGAAAGAAAGTTTAGTGTCATCTTCTAGTGGGATCCCAAAACCTGGATCAAAGGTGCCAACAGCAAAGCAGAGTACTTCCTCCACATGTACAGGGAGTAAGGAGGTTGAAAAACTGAGGACTACAAAAGGAAACCAGTCCCAGTCAACACCAAAATCCCAGTTTAGTGAGAAGGCTTCTCCTTCCGCTGGTCTTTCTTCTTCTGAAGGGAAAGAACCAAGTGCTGCTCTCCCCCCAGGATCCTCTGTTGGTCTGTCAGCCTCGATGGCTGCAGGCAGTGGCCAAGGCACAGGAAATGGTGTAGTCCAGCTTCCTCAGCAACAGCAATACAGCCACCCCAACACCGCCACGGTAGCTCCTTTCATTTATAGGTAAGATCATGGGGAAAATTTGGGTTTGTGCTACCATTTAGGAAAGAGAGCTAAAATGGATAAAGTAATGGTGGATCATTCTGTTATGCCCCAGTTTCTGTCGCAGCATCATGCCACTGTTTTCCTAATATTATTTTTTAATTAATGTTACTGTATGAACAATTTCTTACAAGAACTCTGAGTCTTTACCTTCTACAAAAGCAATCCACTGCAAATATTTGCTATTTAACATTCAGGGTGTTTTGATTAGAAATACTGATCATGTGGTACATTCTCTGTGCTGCCTTTGAAAGGTCACAGCTGAGTCAGGTTTCTAGTGTGAATATTCTTGTTTGCCTTCCAAGAACCTCATCATCTATTTGCTGATATCTGATAATATTTGCTTAGAATTCACGATTCTTTTAAAAGATCATAAAATAAACTCCTGATGTTTTCAGAATGTGTAACAATACTGGTGGATATTTGAAGAAAAAACATACACAAACTTCTACAAGTATTCAAAAATATTTCAACAGTTTGTGTAGACAGAAAAGGTTGCTGTTTGCAGTTCTTTTCCTGTTTAGTTTTCTACATGAAATAAGCGTAGATGAACTCCCTACAGGCAGTTAATTTTTACAGGCAATAGGAACTCTTCAGAGGGCCAAAGCTCTGGAAGAGAAGAATGAACAGTTGAATGTATCAACATTTATCTGAATTTATTTTGCTATATGATAGAGCAGTTGAAGAGAAGCTGGGAGATTGATTGTTGTGCAACTCAGAAGACAGAAAAAGTTAGAAAGATTGACAGGCTGATTTGAATAATGTTTTCAGTTGTCAGATGTTGGAGGGTTTCAGCTGCAGTTGAGGAAAAATTTAACATCTGATAAAATGACAAATACATTATTAAGCAAAATATACTGCCAGTTTATGTTAGTGACTAGTACTCTGGATAATCTTGGCTGAAGATTAAAGATGTGATGAAGTAGGCTCTGAGGAAGTATATATATCATTACACACAACTAAACATAGCTTCAAAACCAATCTGGATGACTGATAAATTCAGAAAATCATATGGGAGGAAGAAAAGGCTCAGTATGGGTTATATTTATTCTAATATGCAGTGGAGCCTCTGGAGTTTCAATTATATGTATCACTGGATGCACTTAATAGGCATGTGACAATCTGGAATAACCTCAGTGATACAGACGATTTCTAGTGTGGCACATGGGACAGCCTACATATGTGTTAGGGTGCATATACACGGAGAGAAAAAAAGGAGCTGTGCTTTGCCTTCAGATGTATGTGCTGCTCAGTGGCTGTTTTACTACATGTTGATGCCATTTCATTGCATGATGGAGCTGTCTTAGTTTTGTTTTAAGCTTTGCCTTGAAACAGTATGCATTTTAAATAGTAAAGGGTGCTTCTATGAAGCATGAATCTTCCAGTAATATTTCTTATTAATAATTGTCTCTTTGCTTCAAACAAAGAGCAAAGGAGCATTTGAAGTTGAATCTCACATGAAAATAAAATTCTCAGAGCCAGTGTCTGATCTCAAAATGCCATAAACTCAGAGTAAAAGACTGACTTTGATGAGATTGCTTCAATATGTATCTCTCAAACTGAGTGCAGAATCTGACTAAGAAATATACAGTAAATAAATTTCTTTAAAATCTCAAGGGGTTTGTAATACTGCACAATGATTTAATCGAAAAATTTAAATATAACCAAGGATAAAATATCCAAAATTTCAAAGTCGGCATATTTATTTCTGTCGATATATGGTAAGTGGAAATGAGCAAGAGCTGGGGTACTATACTTACATTTTTTGTTCTTCAACATAATTGTTTTCAAAGCAGTCACCACCATTAATACACAGAATTTTCAGGTTTCTAACAGCTTTCTAAAAGCTTTATATAAGTTAGTAAACAATGATTATCAATTAGACTAACAGGTTGTTTTTTTTTTCCCCCAGCTACAAGGAATATCTAGGCTCTGTGAGTTTGTACTTCAGTCCTTGTAAAAAAATTTCAATAAAATTTAGTAAAAATACAGAGTTATCCAGAGTTCTGCAGAATCTTGTTATATCCTTGTTTCATCTATTTAGACCATTAGCAGAAGCATAAGTAAGCTACTGCTTTCTTGATTTGTTGCTGATACCTGCAGATACCATGTATTTTGAAATACTTTTTTGCTAACCAAGAGGCCATTGCTGTAGATTTGTGAGAAAATTCAGGTATTCCAAGGAGTTTTTTTGAGACTGCCATGTATTTTCCTTAAGTTATGCAAACCTATAATAGTTATTAATAGTCATGTTTTCAAGAAGTCTATATTTTTATTAATGGACTGTTTTATTGGGAGGTTCTCAAGTGGGATATTGCACTATTCAGCTTTGCAGTCTTGGTGCTTTGCCCTATCTGATATCACATGGTATTTTAATTCTTCATAAACAACTGATGTCAAAATTCATATGGGATTATGACTTCTCTTCAGAGATTAGCAGCAACAGTCAGAGTTGCATTTGAGATTATCTAAATGGGTAAAATTTAAATTCCTCCATTCTACCAGAAAGTGATGCTTTATTTTCAGATGTGGCTGTGAATATATTATTTACAGTCCCTTATGTGTCCCCTCTGAAGTTGACTGCTGGGTCCAACTGATGTAAGACTGAAGAAGATGTAATTTATTTGCCAGAAAGCTTGATAAGACAGATACAGTAGGAAGGTGTAAGGGACTGTGTAATTGTTTAAAGTACACCAAGTACTACTTAAAATTTCACATTCTGCTACTTGACAGAATTGTAGGATACTGGAAATTGTACCATTTTCCCAAGTCCCTGAAACTCATATTGAAATTGGCCTTAGAATTTAGCCGTCTTCCTAGTAGTGCTTAAATTTCAAATGGAAAAGAATAACACAGAAGTTTAGTACTTGCTAGGCTACAGTGAAAATGGGAGAAAAAAAACACATTAATGACAAAAAAAGAGTCCTGCTGAATATCAGTAGGAGAACATTGGGTTGTAACGGGATGCATGTACTGCACCTCAGCTTTATTTTATTGACTCCTCCAGTAACCACTGTAGGGGCTTAGTAAGTCTCTTTCCCGTGGCTGAGATACAGAATCTAAAAGCTCTGAAATCCCAGTGCCTGCATTGCTCAGGAATTGCTTACTGCCCAAAATGCTGAAAATATAGAAATTTCAGCAGAGAATTAGCTGACCACTCATCATCCCAAGCTGCACTTCTATTCTGTGCATTGCTTAAATTTCCATTTTTCAGCTAAGTTTTAGTTTGACGATAGCAACATCTGGAAGACATTTCAGCAGTGTCTGAATTGACTCTTGCAGAGATATTCTTTCAGCGCTGAACTACAAATACCAGTTTGGCACTTCTTTTGTCCCTGCAGAGTAACAAACTGGTAACTTCAGCTACCTGAATATGTTGGTGTAGTGAAGAAGTTGCCAGACTCTTCTCTGAAATGCAGGGTGAAAGTATAAGAGGTAACAGATGCAAGTTACAGTAGTGGAGGGGCTGACTGAAAATTTAAAAAATACAGGTTTCATTTGAGGGCGGTGAAAAACTTTGTGTGGGCTGTGAAGTTGTGGAATCTCTGTCCTTGAGCATGTCCAGGATCCAAAAAATCAAGGCTCTGAGCAATTTAATGTGACCAGACCCTCTTTAAGAAAGTAATTGGACCAGATGGCACCTAGAAGATCTTTCTAATCTCAATTATTTTATGATTCTGTAAGGACTAAAGTGTTCAATAGATAGGGCAGAAAAAGGATATATCAGTGTAATAAATAAACATGTTACTGATTACTGAAACTTTCTTCCCAGCTCCATTACTACGTGGTCATTAGTGCAATTGTTTTTCTAAGCCATAGTTTCAAGGGTGAGCAGGAGGTTCAGAGCAGTGACAGATGGGAAGGAGGATGTGTCTGGTTTTATCTCTGGAAGTACAATGACATTGAATTCCAGATGCCTATTCAGGATGTTTTTATACAGGCGTAGGGAAAAAATTATACTACTCTTCAAGGATCCTGCAACAATAACATGTGCAGGGATTCTTGAAGTCTTATTGATGTCTATTTTTAATGACCAGAAGCTACTTCTGTGTCACTGACTGTGGAGTTGAAATTAAGTTTACAGGAAAAAAACATTCTGACAGTTAATTGTGTTTGCTAATAATAAATCATGCTGCTAAACGTACTTTCTTCAATAAAGTGATGATTCAAAGTCATACGACAGTGCTTTATTGATTCCTGTTATGTACATTGCTGCTGTGAAAATAAAGTCACTACCAAAGAGTCATAGGTAATGCTAAAGATTGGCACTCACCAGTTTTGGTTGTTACAAACACATGGTCTTCAGACGCATCCTCCCATTTTTCCATTATTGATTTTCAAGTAATTGTGCAAGAAAAGTTTCTATTGTGGAGGTGTTAGTTTAAGAGATGCGAAGAAGTGAAGAAATTATTATTAACACATATTTGATTAATTCAGTTCTTTGACTGAAAAAGGTGTTTTCCTTCTCTTGGATTGCTCTTTTTAAATATGTAAGGAATAATCCCATTCCCTTCCAGCTCTTGTGAGGCCAAACCAAATCAACTCTTTCTGGTTTTGTGTTTGTTGTTTTTTGGCTTTGGTTTGTTTTTTTTTTTTTTTTAGAAAGGTTTCTTCTTCCCCATGAGAATCTTAGTAGCCCTTCCTTGCATCTGTTCCAAATTTAACTCGCAATTCTTGAACATGGGTGATCGAACTGCTCATATTGCAGACGTGGTCCTGCCAGTCTGTTACGCTGACAGTGATACACATTCAAGACAGCTGCATCTCAGAGCTGTTGGAAAAATGCCATCATATTCATCTGATAGCTTTTGGAATCTCAACTAAAGAGCAAACAAATCTTTGATGTTATCTGTGTTTATCTAAGGTTGGCAATGTTGTTAGAGACAGCTAAGTTGTTAGAGATGACTTGTTAAGTAGTGCTTCAAATTCTGTTCTTAATTACTCCATACGGGCTCATTTTAATCAGAATGAATAAGCTTGTGCAGGTCTGACTGAAAGAAGGATTTGTCCCATTAAGTGAGTTTGATACTCTTACAAATAAGTAGCATGTAACTCATTGGATTTGGGATAAATATATTCTTTGATTGCTGTGATTAAAATAGAAACAAATTGTCCTGTTTTCATGAAGGCTGCCTGAATTAACTTCCACTGTAGATGCACAGCACTGGAACAATATCACTGGGCTGGCTTTGACTAAACTGAAATTCTTTTCCCTCTTCTTATATCAAGAGAGATATCAAGAGAGATGCAAGAATTTAATTATTTTTGAGGCAGTGGGCTGTGAATAGGTAGAGGATAGAGGATCATTAATTTAGGCCGGTGTGCAAGATTAATGAGAAGGATCACTTAATTTGCTGCTTACTTGCTTTGAGCTTAATCTGTGCTGCAATCCTGCAGTGATCACTTGAGTTCTTCATAGGATTATTACATCCCACTGAAAGACATTAAAGCCTGAAGTACACAAGACAAACTTCACAATGTCATTTCCCATTTTTTTAAAAATTAGAAGAGGCATTTATATTCTTGGTCCAATGTATCACAACCCACAAGAGGCCCACAGCAATGCAACTTGAAGTTTTAGGTACCCAGTGTGTACCTGGGCCTCCTTGTTCCCCAAGAACCCCAAAATCCTACATAATTTTACTTGGAAATCTTCCATCCCTAGTCTTTCACCATTCTCAGCGCTTCTGGGCTAAGCTCAGCTCCAGAGAAAATCAGGGCCTTGTCCATCCTGCATGAAAAGGCAGGACTGGTGTGTAAGTGCTGGCAGTCAGCAGCCCCCTGGAGACTTCATAGAAAAAGAACTAATTTTGAGGGATCTGTTCCCTGTTCCCTCCCTGCGGTATCTCTATCGCAACTGCTCAAGGGCCGGTGTTTTCTAGTCCATCTGTACCACAACAAAACCTGTTGTCTTAAGTAAGCAGAACTTAGGTTGCTGCAAAATCCATAGTCCTCCATGAGATTTCTGTTGTTTCCTCAGACAATTAAAATTTTAATGATTCAAAGCCCTTTGGGAAACAAGCAGGACTGTGGAGTTTCAGAGTGTGTTCACTGCAGAGGGATAGAGTGATCTCTTTTATTCACTTAAGAGTCTGTCCTCTCAAGCATCAAATGTAAAACTACATTCAAGGTTGGTAGGACATAGTTAACCTTGCAACATGTGCTGAGCTTATATTTCCAGTAGTGTGTGACAGACAAGAACCAAAAATTTTTTTTTTATAGAGCAGTTGTCTGTTTCCAGCATCTCAAAAGTACAGAAATTGGTAAGAAAACAGTGCATCTGATCCAGCATTATTTACATTTCTGTTTCTGAGTTGGATGATTCCAATCAATGTATTCCATTATGTCAGTACTTGTGCTGCTCTATGGGCAGATATCTGTTTCCTTATCTATTGTTATGAATTGCTGAACAAATTCATTCAGTAAATGTAAAAAAAATATTAACTGGAAATCTATTTCATAAAATAAGTTGCTATAAAATTATTTTGAGAGATAAGTCACTGTTTTTATGAGTTTTATTTATAAAGAACAGATACATCACACAGTTAAATGTTTCTCTTTTAGGTTTATTGGTTATTGGGAACACTTAATGGTGAATTTTGAAAACTGAACTATAAATGTCACACTTTAAAATTAGGATATAAATATTTCACTAGTCTTTTAATAAATCAGAAGAGTGACTGCTATTCGTGTCATGAAAGCTGAAAGAGCTTAAGCTCTTAGTGAAGATCTTTTAAAATTTCATTTCAAGAAGTGGCTAATATATCTTTAGATGTGTTCTTTTACTGCATACACATGGTAGTACATGTTGCTGTTTGATCACATCATAGTTCAGCAGTTCCAGGGTAAAGTAGTTTCTACTTTAGCTGTTCCGTAAGAAGAGGCAATAGGTGTGTGAGATATTTTTTATTATAATCAGTGTGCTCATGTATTTCTTGCTATTTACCTTCATATAATAGAAAGTAACTGTATTCAATGAGGGGTTCCCATTATAATTTATCGTTGATATTCACAGAAATATACCCTCAAAGCAAATATGAGCTATTTGTTAGAAAGTTAATTGAAAAACTTGTATTATCGCATTCCCCAGTGTTTTATAAGGGGCATTATCAAAAGAAGCTGCACATAGATTTAAATATCTGGGCCAAATTTACATCCAGCCTCGCATAAGCTTTTTCCCACATGGCCTTTCCCGTTTAATATTTCATCAATTACAAGTTTTTATTTCCTTAATATATGTTCCGGGATGTGACTTAACCAATAAAAATGGATTCTGACTAGATCTGGTTGACAAATCCTTCAGAAAAATGTGATGAAAAAAAAAAAAAGGCTTAAAATTTCACAGAATTAACTACAAGTTGTTTCTGCAGAGAGAGAGAGAAAGCCTAGTTGCTTGTATATTTGTGTATCTGGACTTTAAATTAGCATAATAAGAATGTGACAAAATTTATATTTTCATCCCATAGTGATATGATTCTAGATGGAACTGCAAGGAGCACTTTTTTCCATGAACACATGAATGATAGCTAATAATAATCAATCTTCTTGCTTAATTTCAGAACTCTCTCAGAAAATGACAGTACCTCACTACCACCTGCTGATTCCTGTACTAGTCCTACTAAAATGGATTTGTCGTTTAGTAAGACTGCCAAACAGTGCCTAGAAGAGATATCTGGTGAGTAACAATGAGTCAGGAGAAGACTGTGAACTTCTTTATTTTCATCTGTTTCTTACTGGCAGCTTTGTGATGGGTTGAAATAATACTTCTGACCTCCAATCATGAGGGGTATTAAATACAGAGAAAATTTAGGTCATGCATATTTAGTGCTTCAAATCCACTGTTATCTATTTGAACTAGTGCCTTCTGTTCAAATACCCTCTTCATCATTTTGCAGAAACTGGGTTTTGACAATCTAGGGTTTCAAGTAATTGTTATTTCATTTAATCATACTGAATGTTCCAAGAGAAGCAGTGGAAAGTCAACTTTGGAAAGTTTAACACTCTCATTTAATAGCATCAAATTAAATCATAACATCAGAACTGAGACATAATTTACATAATATACATGTTCCTTTTAATAATGAATCTATATTCTGAAAACCAGCAAGTCCTTACTATTGTACCTGACCCATAAGCTGCTGCTAGAGCTAAGATGCTAAAGGTTGTGTTACAAGGAATTCTTGTAAACATGGATTAAAGTCCTTACTAGGTTACAAAGCTGAAGGGATGGGGCAATTTAGTCATATTGGAATAATTCCTTTGAAGTCAGCAGAACCATGCTGAGTTACATCAGCATTGGGTCTGGCCATGATTCTGCCTATCCATGCAAAAAGCAAAGGTTACTACACCTCACTTTCTCATCAGGACTGAATTGCACTGCAGGGTTGTGGACAAAGGGACTCTTTGCAAGAGCTGTTACTTGGGGGTGTAAGGGTTTATTTTTGCTGTTGCTTTGTTTTGTTTTTCATTAGCATCCTTAATCTTATAATTTTACAAAAATTAAAGGGAATACCTTGATACCCTATCTCAGTGGTTTTACCTATAGTTTTACCCTTTTACCACAAATTTTCAACATTTAAATGGATTTTTAACGAGTCTTGGTTCTTCTCACACATGATATAACTCACTTAAAGCAGTAATTTGACACATCAGTCTAAAATTATCTCTCTACCAGAAGGGAAATCAGATGCCCAAGATTTTTGGGGACTGTCTTGACATTTAGCTGACTCCTACTGAAAGAGGTTTTGTCCTGGTTTGTCTCAGTCCCTTTGGAAATTTTCTGACATCCTTTATTTGCACAGCCAGCTTCTGTGATAAATATGTCACTCTGAAACATGGTGTCATGGTCTTTGGAGGTGATGCATACCTGTTAAAATATAAAAGCATTTTTAAGTACTCCAGAAATTGGACTCCTTGGTCTAATATATATAAAGAGACATATTTGTCCATATACAAATCAAGAGATGCTTCAAGGAATCATTCAGAGAGATGCTAGAAAAACCCCAAACAACTCAATACCTGCTGAAATGATCAAACAGAATATCATGTCTGATGACCGTTTACTGTTCTGAAAAGAAACTAAATGGCATCAAAAAGAAGAAAATGACAGAAAGAAAACTAGATACCAGAGATGTTCCTAGTCTGATTATTTGGACTCTGGCATTAGCTGTTGATTGGTATAACAGGCTGTAAAGATGAACCACTGGGAAAATATGGTCACTGATTTGCTGTGTGCATAGAGAAACAGAGATGTGCCACTCGTATATAGCTGTTAGCAGCAAAAGGAATAAATGGATGAAGTACTATATTTGCCGAATAATTAATTTTCTGTGTGGAAGAACTATCACCAAGTCATTGGTGATCCTGTTGTTAGATCTGCATGGATAAGAGCTCGTGTGATAGCTGCTCAGAGGAGTATTCCATGATGGATTAGCTATGAGAAAGGGAGTTAAAGGGAGTTATGAGGAAGGCCAGTTAAATTCTTTTACTTAAGAGCATCTTTATTCTGATATGATCAAGGGATTACACTAGTAGTAGCAAAGAGATAGGCAAGGATAATTTCCATGGTCTGGTCACTTATTTTCAGGGTATTAAGCAATGAATATCCAGTATCTTTCATTTTGATATTATATTTTTCCTGAAATTGTCAACTGTTGCTGTGGGTGGGCATCATATTTATATTATCTTGATCTTATTTTGAAACTCAGTAGCCACCACCCTAGCACAATGTGTTCATAAACAGTAAGGATCAGTAAGGATAATGCAAAAGAGTGAACATCTGTGGAACTCACTAAACAGCTTGGAGGAGTGTGTTCATAAAGTGCTGTCCCACCTGTGTGTGTTTCTGCTTCATCATTCATTATTATTTTTAAAGTGACAAATATTTAGAACTAAGGCTGCCATCCTCAGAACTAGAATATTTTAGCCAATATTGTTGTATAAACTGTTTCTCTACTTTCTGAGTATTTACACATTCCTGTTTGTTATTGCTTCTTGGCTGAAGATTACTGCCCCTATAACCAGCCACGCTGTTCATGTCAGAACTCCTAATCCACTTCAGAGCAATATCAGCCAACTGAACCTAAACTAATGCTTCAAGCATGTCTAGTTCAAGACTTCTCCATAATAAAGACAAAAGTTGGATGCAGAAAAAATACTCTTAAAATTATTTAGGAGGGGTTGGCCAGGCACCATCCTCCTGGTGTAATTCAGGAACCAAGCCCAAGTTAATTTCCTTGCTGTAGTGGTGAAAAGTCATGTCTCTGCTTTCTGTGTCCAGCAAGGTAGTTCACATCCATTTGCTACTGTCTGAACAGTGGTGATGGGAAAATAGAAAGTAAAGCAAGAATGTCTAGAGGGAGTTTTGTTCTCTTCTGCTCTGTCTTCCTCCTCTAAGGGAGCTGATTACTTTTATAGCCTCTCCTGTCTTCCAGCACAGAGCTGGTGAAAGGTAGAGTGAGAGCTCAAGCCATGTGTTTGCTGTTCACTGCTTTGCAAATGATTACTTGGATTTACCTGCACAGCCCTGAGAAGAGAGTAGTGCTAGAAGGCAAGGGAGGTGGGGAGGCTGGTGTAGGCGTGGACTCAGATGTGTGGCTTGTGGTTGTCCTGATAAAACTGGGCAACCTCTATATTTTTATCTTGTCACCAGTAATCTGCTGCTCTTGGTGAATATATACATGGCTTATGCCTAAAGCCAGTTCTGCATCTTTGTAGAGTTACTGTAAATATGTTACTTTGTCTCTGGAGGGAATTTGTTCCAGATGTGGTCTGCAGCCTTTTTCCAACTTTTTTCCCCCCTTTGAATATTCCACAGCTCAGCCAGAGCAGCCCTAAGTGTTTCCACAGTGCACATGCAGAGCAGCACTAGAGTAGACCTAGAGCAGTTTTTAGTCTTCCTGCACACCTTGAATCCTCTCTGTGTGCACAGCTCCAGTGATACGTGCACTCCCACTGAATGAGCCCTGTTTGTTGGCATGAGACCCCTGAGGAGCAGTTTTGGTGTGTTCTGTGTGTGGTAGGCTTGTTGCTCATGTGGCACCCAGGTGTGCAGACCTCTGTCCAGGAAATCCCAGACAGAATCTGAGTCCTCTAAATAAGGAACAATTCTGCATTCAAGTATAAACACAATTTCTTGTACTTTATGTACCATTTGCCTCAACCAGACTACTCAGTATCTATCCACTCAGTTTCTACAAAATTAGAATATACCTTTATAAACAAGATTATAAAATGATAATGACAATAAAGGCTAATAAAGTAATCCAGGTTGGTTGTTGTTATTCATGGTATGTCTTTCTTACCAACTGTTTCTTCTTAAAGTAGCTGTGGTATTTATCACCTTCTGCAGCAGGTTTATTGGAGAAGGATGTCAGCAAGTTAATTAGTTAATAATCCATTGTAAACTGTACATGTCAGTAAATACAAAGTATTATTTTATGAAATCAGTGATAACATTTGGCTTTCACAAGTGCTGGCATGTTCTAAGAGCTTAATGCAAAATGTTTGATTAAGTAATTATGCATGAATCTATAAATATTGACCAATTATTTGAAATCTGATGGATGAAGCAGAAATGAAACAGTACTTTTAAAAGTTATAGGCCTATCTCAATGGCAGGATTAGCATAAAAACATTCAAATTTAAATATTTCATGTTTATTGTGCCTAATTTTTTGTTCTCTGAAAGAAATAATTAATACATGCAGGGATAGTTTACATTTTTTTCAAGTAAGCTTAGCTGAAGAGATGCATAATCTTATGAATTTCCATATCTATTACATAATTCATTTATAGGACTCTAAAGCATCCACTGAGACTTCAAAGAAAGTCTTATCTGACAGCAAAATTTGCCCAAAGATTATTAGTTCTTAAATTAATTTTTATAATTCCTTTTATGAAGGAGACAGTAAAAGTAAAGTAGTATGTTACACTGACTGTGATGGATTGAGGAAGTTCCCTAAGATGTTCTTGATGTAAATATATTCCTGTTTGGTGAGTGGAGAACACACTGAATTGCAAGGTACTTGGGGAATAATGCTGTCATGACATTTGCTCTCCTCTAGTCTCCTATACTTTCTTCTTACCCATAGAAAGATGTATTTTTTGGTTGCTATATCTAAACATTTTTAAATGGAGAGCTGAGCTTTAGAAAGTTCTTTTTCAAGAAATAAACCTAAGAACTTTCCACATTGCAATTTTATGTTTTGGCAAATGACACCCTGCAGAGAGATGTGGTAAAGTACAAGGATAAATTCAGTTGTTTCTACTGAGTACTTGGTATAAGATAAATAAGTATCCATTGTATATGGGGATGATCACAATGGCCTGTCAAGCAAGTGAGGCAATGGGATTAGTGGGAGACAAGTTCATATAACTTTATAATTTTATAAAGAGATGTAGTAAAATGTCTGTACACAGGAAGGCTGAATGAAGGTTGTGTGATTAGCCTCAGTACCTCTGTATAAAAGCATTGGACTCACTGTGTTTTCAATGTATTTCAAAATGAGGCAGATGAATGCTGCAGCTGCCAGCTGCACGTCTTTTACACAGTCCAGGTGTCATTCACTTTCCAGTATGATGGTCTGTGACCTGTGTGCTGCTGAAGCTGGGCTGCAATGAACAGCTCAGCTGGTCCCAGTAACATGTCAGCAGAGACACAGGCCCACTGGGTTGC